CTTATCCCCCTTATACAGGTTATTGGGGTCATGGAGATACGGACATTCGTTTCCTTTGTTGCAACTATTGTACGCGTAATACATACATGGTAATTTCTTTCGGTCACCCTCTTTTACCTTTTTACCCTTTGGACTCTTTTCATCCTTTTTGCTACCCTTACCTGAACTTTTGCCTTTAGCAGCGGCAGCTTGGACATCTGAAGGTTGTGCATCCTTTGAATGCTTTTCCGACTTGCCCTTGGGCTCCCTTTTGTTTTTGTCAGGTTTGTCAGGCTTAGAGTCTTTTGTGTCCTTTTGTTTGTTTTTGTTTTGGTCATCCTTCTGCTTCTCTTTGATCGGCTTCGAAGGTGCTGCATTGGCATCCTTACTGGATGATGCAATGTTTGCCAAGGACTTCTCAATGCTAGCTGTATTCTCCTCCAACTGGTGGATTTCAATGGCTTCTACGAGTTTATCATATAACCAAAGATAGCTACGCTTTGACGATGTCCCGGAAGAATTTCTAAATCTGTCGATGGCCAACTGCAATTTGGGGTGAGATTTCAACTGCTCAAACAAGAGGCTCCTAAGTGACGAATCTGAAGGCCGATCACTGACCTCCAAGGCTTGCCAAATGAAGTCAAACTTGTTACGGAAATCTTCGAGTGCTTTGATGTCTGAACCCTGCATTTTCAAATTGAGAAGGTGACTTTGAGTTAGGGCTACGCCTCTATCCCTTTCCATCTTATACTTCTCAAAAATGATCCAAAGCAACTGCCTCCCTTTGGGCTGCTTGTGTTTCCTTTGATATGACTCTTGCATGGTTTGGAAGTGCATGGCAAACCGAGCATTCTTACTTAGCTCCAGCAACTTGCTACCCAAGACACGGTCCAACAGCGGAAACGGCAATGAATCATTTAGGGATTCAAACGCTTTTGGTTCAATGCACTTTTCGATCCATTTAAAAACAGGTTCTTCATCCCCTTTAGCCAGTTTACAGATTAGGTTAAACGCCGAGTTTCTAAATGCCCTCGCATCTGATGCCGATTTGGGGAGGTTAGGGATCTTCAGATGATCGTACTGTTTGGTCCGCATGATTTTCTTTTCATACTTGTATGGATTTACAACACGACTCCGATTGCTTGAGGATGATACTCCAGAAGCATTTGACCCCCTTGGCGGTGTGGGAGAACCACTTCCACCGCCCCTGCTTCCCTTACTGCTAGACGACGACGACGAACCAGGTGGTGATTTTGGAGGGGTGGCTATGTCATACTCCTTTGGAGGATTGGGTGACCCTTTATTGGAGCCATTCCCTTTTGACTTTCTACCGCCCCCTTGATTGGATGCAAAACCATGAACAACTGATGCCAATGACTCAACTTTTGCAAACAACTCCTTGAGCTGGGTATCCTTAGGACTATCCCCATGTTGCGAAGGCATGGCAAACAACTGAACTTGTGGGTCTTGCACCGGGCTTGCAACACTCCCTGAACCAGAACTGTGACCCGTCTGTCCTCCGGTGCGTAAATGCAACTCGGAGTCCCGACTTAGTCTTGACTGTCCGATTCCTGAAGCGACTGGTAATTGCAATGGCATTTGAACATCCGTACCATCAGCGGCTCTAGATGTTGGGCTCATAGCCGACTTATTTTGCAATTTGCTTAACAACGACTGCTGCTCATCAACCCTTTGAGTTAAAGCATTAATCATTTTTATTTGTTCAACCGATTTCATGGACAATTCCCCATTGATACGGACCAGTTCAGTGATTTTACCCTCCAAACTTGACACCACAGACTGAGCTTCGAGTTTAATCCTTTGGACCTCGGCTCTAGCTTGGGACTTAGCACTCTCAATCTCTTTTGAAGCATCTTGGACAATCTGGGTTGTACCCGCCCTGGTATCCTCCAATTCTTTCTGAAGTTGAATGGACTGAGCTTGGGATTCCGAAATTGCCCTTCTGGCCTGAGACTGAAAATGTTCCAAGTACTGCATAGCTTCTGTTCTAGTGGAAGTCTGGATATCTTCAACCATCTGAGTTGCTTGTACCTGAAAAAATCTTTGGGACTCTTCCACAGCTTGGATGGCTTGGGATTTTAAACTACTCCTAGCTTCCTCCACAGCATGTGCGGCTTGTGCAACTACAAAAGGATCCATTGAAACATTCAATTCATTTTTGATGAACGTGGGACCCTGAGATTGACCCTGGCTGGATGCGGCTCCCTGCTGACCCGACCTGGTGGATTCGTACTGGCCATGAAACGGATTCGAATGAACATGATCTTGTGCTTCTAGCTGAACAGCATTCATATTTGGTGCAATCAACGGTGAAGATTGAGGAGATCCCAAAAACTGAGACAAAGTTTCTGGGCTTTTATAAGGATTACCCTGGATGTCTAGGGTTCCCCCAGCTTCCCCCATGGTATGAACAGCAATCCGATTTTCTGGAATGGCTATCCTTTGATCCCTACTCCCCCTTGGCTCCGGAGTTGACTGCGATGTTGAACTAGAGGTTGTCATCGATTGGGATGGTGTGACAGGATTGGCAACTGTTTGTGCCGCACCCACTTCTAAACCCCTTTGAGATCTAGAACGTTCTGAACTTCCCTCTTGTGAGCTCTGCATTGTGATTTTGGGTTGGTTTGAGAACTTATGCACTTCCCTCCAAAGACCGTTAATCCCCGGAATGTTGCACAGGTTTATGCACTTCCCTCCAAAGACCGTTAATCCCCGGAATGTTGCACAGGTTTATGCACTTCCCTCCAAAGGCTTTTTAATCCCTGAAATGTTGCGCAGGTTTGTGCACTTCCCTCCAAAGACTTTTAACCCCTGGAATGTTGCACAGGTTTGTGCACTTCCCTCCAAAGACTTTTTAACCCCTGGAATGTTGCACAGGTTTGTGCACTTCCCTCCAAAGACTTTTAACCCCTGGAATGTTGCACAGGTTTGTCAACACTCTTACCACCTAGAATCTTTTCACCCTAGCAAGGAACACAAAGACAATCGCAACACTTTTACCACTAAGAGCCGTTAACCCAAAAAATGGAATGCCGGTTGCCTGAATGCCCTTCCCACCAAAAGCTTTGACCTAGGATTGGAATGCTAACTGCTTTCACGCCCTTACCACCAAGAATCTTAGACCCCTGGAATGGAGCGCAAACGCTTCTCACCCCCTTTTCACTCACCGGTGCCTGTAACGCCAGAGCAATCGTTCCAGAGGAGCCGCACAATCCAACAAATAGTGTTGCACGGTCTCAGCTGCTGGGCACTTTGGCTTGCGTCTGATCTGTATGTGGCACGTATGGACTTCTGCTGAGTTCTCACTGATCACTTCGTGATTATCGTCTACCAATGCGCAAGGGATCTGATAGTCGAGGGTATAGCTCTTTATTGTAGCTGCCTTCCCAACCACCCCACAGCGTTCTCGGGTGATAAAAATCGATGTGATGAGGCCTTCGTCCGCAATCTGTCTGTATTGATTGCAAATTCGAAGTAGATTGTCCAGATTTTTGCTTGAATGTTCTATATGAGAAACAATCACGATTGACAAAGCGTCTCTGTGGCCCCACGTCTCTTCTGCCGCCCCTTTGAGACGGTTCAAAAAAGTGATGGAGTCTTCTGGGAATTTGTCGTTCCAAGTCCCCTCAGTTCTCGATCGATCCAACACCTGGTGCCAGTCAAGAAAAAGAATGAACTTTGGATATTCCGGAGAGTCCGCTTTGATGTATGTCTTGTAGCCACGATATGAACTGTAGTTTGAAACCTCTTTTAAGTTCACTCCCACAGGATCCTGGCCTGAGCCCACGTCCTCTGCCTTGTTGTCGCGATCAAACCAAACCACCGTGTCCGGAAGATAAGGTCTAGGCTTCAAGATTCTCTCGATTGCCTTCGCTGATGGCTTTGCACGAGCTCTCAACTGATGTGTTCCACTTGGTCTTGCCGGTGGCACAACAGAAGATGACGATGCCGATGATGTTCCCCAAGTGGAGCCTGCCGGGTGATCGGACGGTTCTGGTACTTTTGAGGTAGGCCGAGCCTTTGCGGCTGGTTTTCCCAAGACCGGAACCGGTTCTGATGCTTTCGGAGTAGGCCTAGCTTTTGCAGCAGGCCTTTCCAAGATCTGAACCTCCTCTTCTGACGAAGATGTCTCAATCTCCCAAACAGTTGCCCCTTGCAACACCGAGTCGCAGACCTGAAATTTCCACTGCCTTGCGTATTCAAGTCCTTCCCGAGTTACAAATGGATAGTTCCTTTTATAGAATCCTTGATCGATACCTTCTCTGATGTGTCGAACCTTTGTAGAAAGACCCCTGCGACCACCTCTTGGGGCTCTGATAGCACGCCAAAGCGCGTCCGGAATCTGCTGTCTACGATCTGGCTCTAAAGTTTCGTCAAGGTACTCCCGGTCGATGATACCACTAGATGTAGCTATTGCTGCAGCCCTACGGCTGATAACCAAAAGATTCTCAAAGAATCAGTTGGCTCAACCACTTAAACCCTTTTTACCTCGGGCAATGCGATCTTGAGCCAAACAGTCGGCCATGGTATACATTTGTAGACCTGGACCACTGGATGTTTGGCATATGAATGAATTAGTTAAAACAAGTGGACATGTATTAATGTCAGTTCGAGCAAACTGGATTCCTGGGTCTAGTGTACTTTAACATGACCGCATGCAATGGTTATGATTTCCAGTCTACATTGATTGCTATGGAAGCATTTGTTGGTGATACTACATTGCACTACACTGCACTACGTGAGGAGGCATATTACTCGTAATCTTTCTTCTAGATCATATATTAAATCACACACGCATATATATATATATCATATAAAAAACATCTCATATATCACATATCAAATATCACATATTAAAAATCATATATCATAAATCATGTATCACATATCATATCATATCACTTATACACACATATATATATATACATATTATATCATATCATATATCATATACCACCATATTTACCATGTGATATCCCAATCTTTTGCCGTCGAAGTACGCACGTCCTTCACCTCTTTTCGGGCACCAAGGCCACTGTGGCCGTGGCCGTGGCCGCCGGCCACGGTCAACCAGTTGGGTGTGGTGCTCTCACCTCCGATTCGGGATGGATTGACTGATTGACATTGAAAAAATGACACATGAAATATATTGAAATATGAATACCCTTTGGTAAACTAACATAACTATGGAAAATCACAATGTTTAATGGGTAAATCCACTATTTCTATGGCCATTTTCAATAGCAAACTGTTAGTTTACCAGAGGGTATCATAGAACTCTTAGAGGACATGTGAGAATCCAAGACATTTTCACCAATTCTTCAAATTTTGCTAAACAGATCTAACCGAATCTAACCAGGCAAAGATGGTGCTCCAGCTGGAACATGTTGAAATCATTCTCTGCCTCCGGCGTCTCGCTCCAGTGAAATGGGCACCCAATGGTCCTTGGAAAAGGCGCCGCTGGCGAGGCGGTTCTCCACGTTCTGAAAGGTTGCCTGGCTCTCAGCCCTTCTCCAACTGAAACATGGGGGGTTTAAACATGTTGTCCGCAACCTTAACGTTCGCCCAGACTCATCATTGTGACATAACAGAGACAATTCTGTGTTGCTGGGAAGTTCCGAATCCAAGCAAGGCCAAGGGGGAAAATTAGGCCACGGTGGCATGTGAAAGATACCTTGAATACAGTTATCTTCATGAGGAAACAATATCACCTGATCATCATGAGGGATCAAAATCCGCCACCCCCTATGACCAATATGCTGAACGGGCTAACAACACGCCACCCTCTATGGCCAATATGTTGAATCGGGTAGTTACATCAATATTATCTTCATGAGGGAGCAGAATCCGCCACCCCCTATGACCAATATGCTGAACGGGCTAACAACATCAATTTTAGCTTCATGAGGGGTCATAATGCGCCACCTCCTCAGAACAATGTTGATTGGGGAAATAGCATCAACTTGATCTTCATGAGGGATCAAAATTAGCCACCCCCTCTGAACAATACGTTGATTGCGGGACATCAACTCCGGGCAAACGTCCAGGTTGCAGCGAACATGTTTAATCCATGAAAAGAAAGGGGTTTAACGGTTAACAACCCTGACATGGATAATATATGGCAGTGTGTCAAAACCTTGTACCCCTGGTGAACATCAAAATAGCTGGTAAATGGATGTTCATCCCCTAAAAATGGTATGTATAGGTATTGATCCATACCCATATGATAATATGATACAATATGAACATCGCCCAAAATTCTTGGGACTCCGATTCATGAATAGATCCAATCCATTTCACCAGGGGTTCGATCCGGCACCTTGAGCATATCTTCCAGGCGTTGCGCTTGTCTGAAGAGATTGTCCTGGGAGACTTTCCTGGGAGTCGATGGGAGAGGAACGCTGAGTTGAAAATGGCTCGAAGCCTTAAAGCCTGTGATTTTTCAATCTGGATGGGGGCATGAACAAAACTCGTACAAACCATAGCTGCACATAGCTGCTATTTTGATGTGAACAGCAGTGTATCAGGGTTTTGATCCAGACTTGACCAATGGAAACTGGAGTTGTAGGGGCATGAACCTATTGAAGAAATGTGGACACATGTCCAAGAAAACAGGGATGCAATCCAACAAGAAACCGCAAAAAAATGGAGAAGCAATCGAAAGAGATGGGTAGACTGGATAGACAATGGCTTGAACTCTGGATGCCAGTTAAATCCAGTTCACACAAAATGCAATAGGACCACCAAAGACCATGCTATATATATATATATACGCTATTGCCAATCATTAGAACCCGTGAAGCCCGTCGAGAGAAGACTGCAGGTGGGTATCCTCAGCATAGACGGGGGTACCAATGGTATTGGGATACTGGGAACACGCAGCGGCACCGGACAGAGCTGAGGTTCAGGTTATGTTCAAAGTGACTGCTCAGGTCGTTCATCACCTGCAAATCCAGGGCTGCGGGCGGTCAATGACCCCATTTCTGTGTTAGCCCATGGCGGTCGAACCAAACGGATAAGTTTTTTCCCTTTTGCTGAGATGATGGTGTTTCGGCACACCATTCTTGATAGACCAACGACGCTACTATTTGGTGATTGGATGCTAGATTGCCGGTGCTATCCAGTTGTTTGGGCACCATCCGTGAAGGTACATGTCCAACAAAAAGTGATGGACCTTTCATTGATCCATCAGAAAAACACAACCTTAGTGGGTTCAATCCTCTATCGCTTTTGTGACTTCAGGTGGGCTCCAGTTGTGAAAATCCCTCACCTTCTCATAGTGCTGCTGCATCTGCTGCATGCCGAGATTGTGTTCAGCACGTTCTTTCATCAACGTGGATTCCAAACCTCGGGATGTAACAGTGATGGTGGCGGTGAAACCTCAGTCGATAGCTGACTTGGGGCCACAAAAACAACCACTGCTTTGCTAGGCCCTAGACATATTTTTTGATGCCATAATCCATTGAAGACTGGAGCCAAGGGTACCCCAGTGAGAAGTAATTCAAATCTCTAGGATCAAACAGTCAATCGTGTTGCCGTCACAACTCTTGATTTCCGCATGACCCCACTTTGGCTATTTGGTGTCACAATCTCATAGCCTGGTGTCAAGTCAGATTCATGGGAATCCCCCTTAGAAATCAATCCAGCCGTCAGGGCTTGGTAAACAGATCCTGTCGGGCTGCCGGAGATTTTGCTTTCCAGTTCTTCGCGGCCTCTTCCTCGAAGCTCCAAGGAGTCAACGGGGTAATGGGTGACCATAATTTTCTACATGAAAACAGCTCATTTCGGGGCTCCAGATTTTTTCACATAGCCAGATGGTGAAAATCGGAGCAGGGAAACACAGAAAGTTTTTTGAGTTTTTTTTGCTCTTATGTCACATATGTCCATCTCAAATCTTCATTGGATGAATCATGAAAAAGTAATCCATAATTTGACTTTGCTCTTCACAGCAAGCTCTTCATAAATTTGGCCAGGAACACCTGGAATCGTTCAGCGTAGCGGCAGAACACCTATCCACATTCCGCATTTTTCCACGGGGTTTCCTCAGCGTTTTCAGAGTCCCAGTGGCGTTCGACCTGCATTCGTTGGAGCATCTGATGCATTGCTGACCTTGGCATAAATACGGTAGCTGGATGTATCTGGTATATGAAATCAACGAACCATATCATATCCCTTAAAAATATCAAGAACTTTTGTATACCCTGAAGGGGATTGTCAAACCAGAACCAACCAAAGGAATTTCCGATTCATAATTCGTGGTTGTATGTTGTAAGATCCAAAACCTCTGATTTCCCACACTTTTGGGGAAATGAACATCTAGCTACACTCTTTATTTTCATCTAAAAACCCGGTGTGGTTTGTGGCTCGTGATTATATCCTCCACTGCAAGTTTGGGAGATGAATATTAATCTGGGCCCTGGGCATGCAAACCACTCAAACATGGTGTCTTCAAATGGCAAGCACCACGGACAGGCACTTAAAACAAATTTACATTTGTCTCCGTTCAAAGTAAACATCAAATGGCTGGAACAGAACCTTCTCCAACTTAAACAATCTGTGTCGCCAAACAAGTTGTAGGTATGGTCAGCAGATTGATGCAAATTGACTGCTGCAGCGTAGCATTTTTTCAATCACAGTTTTTTTTATTGACGATTGAGCAAAGGACTTCACCAGCGTGAAGACATCACCACGCAAGAATCCAACCCAATCCATACCCAGCACCCCAAAACGAGATGGTTTCTCCAAAAGCATCCTTAGTGAGGTCCTCCAAGTGGGTCCCATTTTTTTATGGGTAAACAGTGGTAAACTAACCCCGCCAACCAGTCACGATCCGGCAGGCAAGGTGCATGTCCTGCTCACGAGGAGCCTGAGGACGGTGATCTCGAAAGCGAGGGAACAACAACTACTAATTAAGTAACTAATAAGTAACTAATTCTTAAACAATCTTAAACATCTCAAGATCTTGACCAAAGGTGACTGTATAATTTTGCTTCTTGCAGTGTATATTATAAGATCTTCCAAGATATCAAGACCTGACCTTGTTCGAGCAGTGCGACATGATGGCCTGTTTTGGCAGAGATTCTTCCACCAGCCGCGTCTGCTGACGTTGCAAGTCCTGCCACGGATCTGGATCCTGGTGGTGATGGTGAGGGATCCACCATGAAATCTCAGATGGAACATGCCAAAAATGGATAAAACATAGTGTATATTGTATATTTATGTGAGGTTTCATCTGATCATCTTTCTGTCTCAGTTTCATGTTCAGGGGAGTATTACAAGGCCATGACCATAACCAATTCGCATCCTGATTTCCCAAAAATGACAAAAGTTGGAGCAGCACACTTGAATATATGAGCTAGAAATCCCCTCTAAATGGTTAGAAATCCCCACTTTAGATGCTCCCAATTTTCAACAAACATATCACGTAACTTTGATTCTGCCAATTTGATGCTGAAAAGCTATGAATGGTTGCCCAGTCGGATATGCCCGCGGGCCGCGACCTCTTGGATCCATTGCAAACGGCGTTCCAAGTAGGCGTAGGGCCTCGTTGCGAAGATGGGAACTGAGGATTGATCCCAGGGTGAAAACTCTACGACCTGAGATTGTTGACGGGCACCAGCGAACATGGAACCAATGGAACCCAACAAAATAGGTATGGCAGGTATGGCAGATGATTTTCCGGTTAAAACATGTTAAAACATGTGAACACTTGGTAAACCTTTCGGAGCTTGCAATCGGCTAAAGAAACCAGCCATTCAACTGCATCGCTGCATCGGAGTCGCTGGACGGGTCAATGGGGATCCGCGCTCGAGCTTGTGCTCAAAATGTGGCATCGGCATCTTGTCGTCCGAACTCAGAGTGGGCTTTGTGGCTTCAGTTCACAGGTCACTTGGGACTTGAGATCACTTGAGATGACTTGAGATGACTTGGGTGGGTCGTAAGTCTCCAGGTCTCAATTACAACCTATAACAACCTTCATCACAGACCTTCAGCCATGTTGGATGTCTGAGGCCAAAGCGGTGGCGCCTGAGATCGAAGGGATATCCCGGCGTGGTTTCCACCATGGTCTTGACCATGTTTTTTTATCAAATAAAGGGCACAAATAAATGAACAATATACATCAAAAACCAAAGCCCAACATATTCTGAGAAATAACATGGGGATGTAGCACCTGCCGGCTTTCGGGGATTGGTTTTGAAAGGCTTCGGTGTTCACTTAAAATCGCATTTGGAGGCACATTCCATCAGACATTTTGGATCAGACACCGGAAATACGCTGAACATACATAATGTATCATAATGTTGTAAACTTAACAATGACTCTCCAATTTTTTGATGGTTCCAGCTGCAGCGAAGCGACTACATTTCCACAGTTTCGATATGTTCCATCCCAGTCTTTGCTGTCTAGTAGCTGGGATATCCCGTGTCTGCAGTTTCCACTGGCAGTGAGCGTTTCCATAAATGCTGGCTCCCCAAAATGGATGGTTTATAATGGAACATCCTATTAAAGTTGATGATTTGGGGGAAACCTCAATATCATCTCTGCTAATCATTGATGGCCCTAAATACAGAGAAAAGAACCCCCTGTGGATAACCATGGAAAAAATGCATTTCTATCTATTTGGGGAGCATGAGATATTCCCGATATTCCATCACCTCTGTTGTGAACAACACACCTGGTTGGTGTACTCTCCCAAAGAATTGGAATAGAACATTAAAACACTTTAAACCACCAATCAGATTTTTTGGGTCTATGTTGTGCGTATCCCTGTTTCACAATGCTTCAATCTTCGAATTTGCCAGTCAATTTCCAATTCTTTTCTGGTCAAATCCAACCTTTTGTAAAAATGACATCCCAACGTCGCAAAACACCAGCATTTTCACAGTCAACGGTTGAAATCCCACATTTTGTGCTGGTGAAATCATTGAAATCCCCACAAAAATGCTCACCTCATGCAGTGCGTGTGCATGAAGCTCCTGGAGCAAGCGATTTTCAGACTGCAGGAAACCATGGGCTTTCTCATGGGTTTTTAGCCATAGAGTATAAGGGTTTTCTATAGAACTTACATCAAACAAATGCCTTGATATCATTCATTGAACAAGGAATGATCAAGATGAAAACAAATCAATGAGCCACGAACAAACATGGAAACAACTGGTCATCTACTGGTTCGAAGGGGTCCTTTTTCACCAGTAGGTTACTTCCGATATTCATGGGGATTGATTTATTTAGGTACAGATTAAACTTATTCACCATGGATAGTTACCCCACTTGACCCATACGTAAAGGGGGATCATATTGATGGTGATCCCATGATATCCAACGATATCAATATCCCATAATATTCCGATCCTACAATAATTCATCCCATCCGACAATATCCATCCGACAATGTCATGACATACTGATTGTTACATGAATGGTCGGCGAAATCCTCGTCTTGAGGGAAAAACACCCATGGTATGGTGACACCAAGACGAAAACGGCTCTCAAGATCCGACCATTTAGATACACCCAACAAAATCCATTCAGAACCCACGAATCCCAAAGGACATACCATATATCATATGTATATATGTATATATATATATATATGTATATAGATACCATGAAATACATACCGTACAGAAGTGCCATCAATGACGGTATCATTTCATGGTTCAATTTTCTCCCGCCATTTGGGGGGAAAATCCCAGCTTCGACGCTCCTGTTGCAGCCGTGCGGCAGCACCGTGATTCGATTGCCGCTGCAGCCTGCGAGGTCAACGCAGCTGGGCAGATGGGAAGGGAAGCATAGTGAAGCATTGGATGGGATAGAGTTTTGGATACTGAGATTAGTTGATAGATAAACTTTTCATGTTTGGCTGAGTGAGTGTTTTCGATAGATTTTACCACAAATCAAGATATATAGAGTCTTAAAGACATGGTGTTGCTGGTGCATCCGCTTTGAAGAATGACACGCATACTGGGAGTGTGGGAACTTCACCCCTGTTCAAGCCCAGAAACAGGGCCATTGCAGTAGCATCATACCACCAAGTCCTTTCAAACCAAGATAAATTAATAAATCAAACTTTGGTCAACATATATCCCTATAAGTTGGTTAACTCCCATTCAGTATAGATATATCCCCTATAAACGCCTGGAGTCACCATATAGTTATTGGAGTCATAAAGCGACTCAACGTCACCAATTTGTGCCGAACTCTCCCTGCCTCACACCGCCATCGGCTCTGGCCTCCTGGGAATGGGTGAATTGATCCAACTTCCTTTGATCAACCCATTTTTGTGTTTTATTCACCGAAAGCCTGTGCTCTAGCCATCATAGCCGGCCAGGCCAAAAGACCTACACTTTTGCTATTCAAACCTGGGGCTGGGGAAAAAATCCAATGGTTGCTACGTTTCTCCAATACGACATCCACAACTTGTCGCCTGCAATCGCCCGGTGGTGCGAATTTCCGGGCGCCTGGAGTCGCAATGACTTGGATGATACCACCGTGGGGATTATCATAGCCTATTCCGTTCATGGAGGTAGTATATAATATTGGGATATATATAGATGGATATAGCCCCCAAGAGGATAGAACAGTATCTGACTAAAATCTGACTAAAATCAGTGGTACCCCATGGGAGAACCAGTTATGTTCCAGTGGTGAATGGTTGGAATATCGTTTGCAATTGATTGGCACTGACTGGAAACATGAGTTGTAAATGGGTTCTTGATTAAACACAATGGTGCCTTGCGAATTGCAGGTTTTTATCCGATCACCAAACATGCACCTGAAGCTGAAAGTCCCTGCAGAAGGCAACCCCACCCTGATCATCAGAGATCCCTTTTGGTCCCAATTTTGCTTCTCGATCTCCATTTCAGCTTCTAAATCTGTAGATTTCCAAATGATCATCTGACTTCTGTACCATCTGGTTATTTAACATAGCCATGGAAGTTATGGGATGATATTGCCATCCATTAGCAGATGGCGGCTCAGAAGGAAAACAAGGGCCGCTGACCCAGCTAGCATGCCACCAAAAAATCACAATTTTTAATAGGCAAACCATCTATTTCTATGGGCCATCTATACCATGGCGAACTGTTAAATAACCAGATGGTAGATTTCCCACATTGGAGTCCATTCCTCTGCCACCAAGTCTCTGCAGTTGCTGCCGCACCACGGGGTGCCCAGGATGGGTCGCCACTGGTGCCGCGTGCTGCGTGCTGAAGCTGGGATGAGCGAAGCCGGGCATGGGCGGTACCCCGGGATTGGGCGCAAGCGGCGGTGCCATTGAGGGGGCAGTGAAGCTTTGGAGGCCTGCGGAAAATAGGAATGGACGGGACAGGACGGGAAAGGATGGGAAAGGATGGGAGAGGGAAGATTGATGGAAAGGATTGGATATCATGAAAGAAGTGAACCACTTCAATGAAAGGAGGTGCCATAACTTATTTCATGCATGAAGCGCGACATTTTCAGCCACAGAGTGAAGTTCGACAACAAAAATCCTAGAATTTCATGGTGAACCCCATTGAAATCTCCAGTTTCATGGGATATCTCTGTTTGGTTACATTGGTTACATGTAAAAAAACCTCCCAACATATCCCTGGAGATCTCTGGTGCCGTCACGGCACCCATGGCACCCATGGCACCCATGGCCGTGGGTGCGGAAGCGCGTCCCTGGAAGCCAGGCCATTGTCCAGGCTGTAGAACCTGGGGCTTGGGGCTCCCAGAGTGTGTTCGAGCCACCTGGGATCCGTTGTAGATGTAGATATACATATATATATATATATGTGTATATGAATAGATATATATATATATATGCTAGCCCCCCCGAGATCCACTTTTGAAGCTGTTTGCAATGAGTTTGAACCTGTAGAGCAAAAACTACCAAAACTATTCATAAAGCCCATACAGCATATACGTCTAGATGGAAAAAAGTATTCTGTACATAAGTTCACTACAAATAGTATCTTTTGATAAGAACTTTTCACGATCAAAGAACAGTAAGCTTTTAATAAAATCATCAAGATAACTAAAAAATTATTCTAGAAAATATTCAAATACCTTTTGTAGAAAACATCAATATAAAACTACCATCAGCTAAATCAAACATGAATTCTTAAATTGCATAAATGTAAATAAAAATTAAAATAATCAAGGTAATGTTTTACATAACTGTTGTATGTTTATTTGTGTAGAGTCTGCTGTTAAATACACATGATTATTGCTAAAGTATGTTCTCAACCATGCCAATTGTCTTTTAGCATAAATTCTTGTACGCTGCTTGGCTTTTTCCACAGCACCTAAGAACTATCCATATAAACCCTAATAATTCTGTTTCACCTATTTTCATTTGCAACTTTTGTTTCTAAAAATTGCGTCTTATTTTTTACTTCTTTAATACCTGCTTCATTCATTAAATAAGAGCAGCGCTTATTACATTTTTATATACAATTTCTCTAAATGGATTACATATAAACAAAACATAATTTTTAAACAAACTGACATCTGCTACCTTATTTTTGTTAAAATAAGATGTTATAGATTTTCCTGTCTCATGCAAAACACTGTAGGCTCTTAGTATTCTATATCTATCTTTAAGAAGATATCTTATACTCGTCAATCTGATTTTTATCTTCTCTTGTTAATATATCATACACAGCTTTGATACCTGTTGTTTGTTTTTTTGATTACTAACATTCTCTTTGCTTGCACAAGATATGTGTGGTATGTAATCTAGGCTAGATAATAAAGAATGTATATAAAAATTGCGTCCTCCAACTATAATTATTTGTTTTTCCTAAATTGCTACAATCATTAATAACTTTTTGTTTACATCAGTCATATACCTTACAACATCATATCTATCTTTTATATCTACATAATTATATAATACATGAGGTGAATTAGATTTTTGAATGCTGCTAGGACTAGAAGTAATGTGATCTAAACCTGTATAAACGCATAGCATCACTATTTATAAACTTGCATAGCATCACTATTTATTATAACACCATTAGTTTCTTTCGATAAATTAATAGCAACGCTAGATTTACCAGTGCAGGTAGGCCCACAAATAAAAATAATAGTATTAACATTTTGCATAAAATTAAAAACATACTTATTTTTAGTGTATATACAATTATTTGCACCATTTGCACATCTAACAACACCTTAAAACATAATTTAGATTTAATACACTGTTCATTATTTTGATTTTTCCCGTTAGTTTATTCATATATTTATTACACTATAAATTAATATGCATACTTCAAATGTTACAAACCATGTTAACCTTATACAGTCTAACTTATTATCTCATATAAAAATAGTTTGCAATTTTAAAAATAAAACTAAATAACACAGCCTAAAAATGGTTTTCAAAAAATATGTGTTTTTCTTTAATACTTGCCTTAACAATCAGTGTAAAATTTAAACAAAATTACAACTACTAATCAAAATAAACATGTATCATTCGTTAAATTAAGGCAATATTTACAGTATTGAACAAAAATGAAAATACTAATAACTACATAAACAGCAACTATAAAAAAACAATTCCTTAATCAATTTGCATAAAACATAAGCTTTGCACCATATAAAGAATAAAAATCCAAAACATATAGTAAATTAATTACAAGAAAATTGCCTTCGTAATTCATTATCAAATAAATGTAAAAAATTGTTTCTAGTGCTTTCTACTACAAAATCGTAAGATAAATTTTTTGGATCTGCTATTTTTTGTGCTACATAAGCAACTTTTGCTGGAGTGTTTTGCTTTCCTCTAAAAGGCCCAGGAGCAAGATATGGAGAATCTGTTTCAACTAAAATTCTATCAATTGGCAAATACTGTACTATTTCTTGAAGTAATTTAGCATTCTTAAAAGTTACGATACAAGATAGAGAAATGTAAAAACCTAGATCTAAAGCCGCTTTTGCTAAATCTTTTCCAGAAGAAAAACATGTGTTAATGCTTTAAATTGTTTCATGAACGAGGAATGAGAGCCATGGCTCGTGCAAGACAAGGACAAAAGAGAGTGCTGAAGAAGAAAGGCTTCAGGTCATGTACATGGATTAAAGGACCAAAGCAAATACAAAACCAAAAAACCAAAAAACCAAAACTTTGAAGAGACTTTTTGGTTTAGCCTCAAAAAATGTTTTTTTTTGATTTTCATTTTGTTTTTTTGGCTTTGAAATGCAAAAGCAGAAAAAACATTGTGTGTTTTGTTTTTTTGAAGGTTTATGGTTGGAGAAAATCACCAAAAACCAACAAAAACACAAAGCAAACACAAAACCAAAAACCAAAAAACCAAAACTTTGAAGAGACTTTTTGGTTTAGCCTCAAAACATGTTTTTTTGGTTTTCATTTTGTTTTTTTTATTTTTTTGAAGGTTTATGGTTGGAGAAAATCACCAAAAACCCAAAAAACACAAAGCAAACACAAAACCAAAAACCAAAAAACCAAAACTTTGGAGAGACTTTTTGGTTTAGCCTCAAACAATGTTTTTTTTGATTTTCATTTTGTTTTTTCTTTTGGCTTTGAAATGCAAAAGCAGAAAAAAACATTGTGTTTTTTTGTTTTTTTGAAGGTTTATGGTTGGAGAAAATCACCAAAAACCAAAAAACACAAAGCAAACACAAAACCAAAAACCAAAAAACCAAAACTTTGAAGAGACTTTTTGGTTTAGCATCAAAAGATGTTTTTTTGTTTTCCTTGTGTTTTTTGTTTTTTGAAGGTTTATGGTTGGAGAAAATCACCAAACACCAAAAAGAAACAAGTTTTTCTTTGTTTTTTGCATTTCAAAACCCCAAAAAAACAAGGAAAACAAAAAACATCTTTTGCGACTAAACCAAAAAGTCTCTTCAAAGTTGTGTTTTTTTTTTGGGTTTTTGGTTTCGAAGTTTTGGGGTTATTATCATTCTCTACATATTACAAGCTTTCAGATGTACCAAGATAACGAACAGGGTTTATATTATCTATGTGTGTGTTTTATATGTATGTATGTGTGTCTTGAAGGACATGATACAAGAGGCTTTGAGGTGGATCTCCGGGGGGGGGTACCATATACATATAATATTCAATTATGCTATGTAATCTTATGTACAGTAACCTTATGTAATCTTATGTAATCTTATGTGATATTTTGTAATATTATGTGATATTATGTTGTATTATGTAATATTACATTATATTATGTTATATTCTGTTCTATTATATTATTTTATGTTATGTTATATTATGTTATATTGTGTGTATGTATGTTATGTTGTTTTTATTTTATACAATGTTATGTTGCGTTATATTACGTTACTTTATGTTATATTGTATTGTTTTGTATTGTATTGTATTATATTGTATGTATGTATGTATGTATGTACATGATGTCTATGGGGCCTCATTGTTCCAACGAGTCATCAACTCCAAAGGGATATGTTCTCCTGGAAATCTGCGAGAGGTATCTTTTCCGCGGCTTCAGAGAAACAACAGCCGATTGAGCCAATCTTTTGCAGATCAGATCTCCCAAACTTGGTGGTTGTAAAACACCCCAGTTTTAATTTGCTGATGAACCCCCCTAAATTTTGCTCATAACATCCCTATTTTCTGTCGTTTATACTATCATATAATATACGTATATGTATATATACATTTATCCATCTATAAATATATACATATATCGCACTGTCATATACTATCAGATTTACTCTCAGATTTACTATCAGTACTATCATATACTGTATATATATATATATGTACTATTTTCTGTCACTTACTCTCCATGCGAAAGGTTTTGATTTCATCCGCGCCTGGCGATTTGCTGGCAGATGCCTCGTCCGCATGGGCAAGCTGGAAAGATAAGCCAGATACCTACCCCTTTGAAAAATATGGAAATCAGTTGGGATCATTATTCCCAATATGTGGGAAAATAAAACATGTTCCAAACCACCGGCCAGTATTGATATATGATGATATATGATGATGATATGATGATGATATGATGATAATATATAGGATGATATCGCAATGACGTAATGTTCAAGCGATATTGGGAAGATCTTCCATAACTGTTGGGCTTTGAAGATCGGCTCGCAACCACTTGGCACGCCATCTTTTCACCAGCATGCATGACATGCCTATCAGAAAATTTGTTCATCAAAGTCCGGAGAACTTTTTTTGTGCCGTCGTCATGGTCCTTGTGTCCTCGTGTCCCGCTGAGTGTGCGAACCCGTGTGGGTAGCCGGCAATCATTGCGATGGAGACTTTCAAGGAATGGAGCAGAATTTATCCTCCTGAAATTGCCAGGATGATAGTTGTGTATAGTTGTTGTATCGTTGTGGTTGCTGTAATTCAAGAACTTCAGTCTGATGACTTTTTGCAGGAGATCTTTGCAAATTTGGCCGCAATATCTTTATTCCTGTGGACAATCTTATTCCTATTTCAATGAGTTTGGATCACAATAACTGCAATTTCACATAGTTAGCATCAACTTAATCTCTCATTTAGAGACATATCCTTCAGATCAAAAAAACTTGAAGCCGCTGGCTGCAGAGGATTCAACAGCAACCATGACGAGACCTGGGTGACCGCTGCTGAACTGCCATGGTTTTTGGTGTTGGAAAAGCTCTGCCCGAGACAGGGCAGGATGCCAAGGATGCGGCCCCAAGGAGAAATCTTTCTTGTCTTTCAAGGCATCCTCAAAGGGATGCCATGGGATCAACTCGGATCAACAGGTCCTGTCTTAGCTTGGAGATTTGGACTCAAAGATGTTGCGAACTCTGATTTCAACCTTGAAACCATGAATTTTGAGGCTTTCCTTCTGATTTCAATATGCCAATCTAGCCTAAGTCCAATGTTGGTCACTTACCCACATTGCTGTCATGGTCATCATATCACCAAGTTCCAATGATTGATGATTCATGATTGATGACAGCTGGATCCGCTGGATCCCAGCGGTTGTTTTTTGGCTCCCCACCAACAGCGCTTCCCAGTTCTTCCGAAGACCTGGCGCCTGTTGAACCATCCGAATATGGCGACTCAAAAAGGGGGTATGCAAAAAGGGGACGTAAGTTGAAATAACAAAAAGAAACGGCACCAGTTATCAGTGACCAACAACAGGTCACACAAAAAGTAACAGTACGAAACATCAACAATACCACCCAGGAAGGTATTTTTTCACTTCAATCACTGAAGAATACACCAAATGAAACCAACTACTCATGCCACAAATGCTGAGCTAATCTGGCCTCAAATCACTTCCTTCTAGGAACATCGTCCAGTCAGAGGGATGTCCCGATGTCCCGTTGGCAGTTCATTTCCCAGGGCTCTAGGGCTCGCAATGAAGTTGATCAGGATTACATCAGCATACAACCAAATAATAATCCAAATAATCCAAAATCAAATAACAATGTTTTTTTAAACAAAGTATCATCTGATTCAATCCTATACCATAATACCATAGCAATAATCATTTTTATGGTAATACCCATGGTAATCAAAGTAATCTCTGGTATCATGGTCAAAGTCCGTCGAGTCGTTGAAGACTTTGATTTCCCGAGGCTGGACACCTCCCTGCTGAGAAACCGGATCCACTACTTTGCAAATCGACAGGGGCTGAACAGTTCAACAATGACAAAAAAATCACAATCATCAAACATCGTCATACTTTTTGGCACTTTGTCACTTGAATCAACGGGTCCATCACCATGTGGTTTTGAATCAGAGCCCCAGAAGCCCCATTGCTGTCCCGGCCAGGCGAAAATAGGACCAGGACTTTGACAAGGTCTGCGGCGGATGGATGGACATCTGCTATCAAAGCCTGCAATCAATCCTCACACAGTTTTTTTTTTCGAAGATAGATTCGTATATGACATAAAATATGGTCATGCAGTAATGGCTATTCCTCTATCTCTCTATCTGTCTAGCTACTCCGCAACCACAATAGCTACTTCCGCGACACACAAGTCAGTAAGTATATATAGACATATAGATACACAAAGCCAGACTGGCAGGCTGAATACGCATACGGATGGGGCATCGGGCGTTCTCCATTATGTCCCAGCTTCCTGTGGGTGTGGTGTGGATGTTTAGCCTTGCACATACCTTACAGTGCGTTACAGGTTTAGAGAGGTTTATACAATTTACAGTTTATACACCATATCATCATCATCATCATCATCATCATCGTGGTGATGATAATCATCATCAGCGTCATCCTCATCTTCATCCATCATCATCACTATCATCACTAGCATTACCATCATCATGATCGTCATGATCATCATCATCATCATCATGATCATGATCCTGATCATCATCATGACCTTGATCATGATCATGATCATCATATTCCCATGGCTTGGAACTGCCGTTGATTCACTGCTGGATCCCTGGAAGAATCCCAGAATCCCAGTGACGAGCCTCAGGCACGGGCGTTTTGCCGCCTGCTGTTTTCAAATCTTGTCGGGCAGTGGATGTGACCACAAAAATCCTGAGAGATAGACAGATACGACCCAACAACTCAAAACAAGTTCAATTCAGTTCGTGTATCGTGGATATTTGTGGCACAGGACTCGAACCGATTTGAGATACTTTGGTGGTAAGCCAATCAAGCAGCAGGGCTTTCAAAACCGTAATATTCACAAATTTCCCTTGGTTCCACCGTCACTTTCAGCAGTTCTATCCGATATTGTAACATGCGCTTAGTTTCATATCGAATTACCATCATAATCATAGTCATTTGGGTGGTTTTCCTCAGTAGGGATGAACTCTGAAGCGGATTACCAAGCGAACACCCCATATTTTGGAGGATACTGCAGGATACTGCACAAAAGCTAAACAGAACACAATCATTCCCTCACTTTTGTGACAATTTTCCTGTGAGATGTTTGAGATTTTTTGAAGGATACCCTTGGGAAATCTCACCAATGGACACGTCTCCATTTACTGTACTGTTTATCATTGCCAGGTTGGATTTTTCCAGAAATTCGTCAGCACTTCCCACCTGATTCCAACGACTTCACCAAGGCCTGACGAATAGATCAGCAAGCTTTGAACCTTGAGAATATCATAGCGAGCTGTGATGACACCAGGACCAGATATCTTTACCACAAACACGTACCAGTACCATGGTTTTGGTATTGACACGTGTGGTATTCGACATATTCATGAATCATCTTGCAGCTCAAAATGTGGAAATTCGTGGTCGATCCTTGTGTACACGCCCGTCTTTTCCTCCCTCCCCCTTTTTTGTTTCTATTTCTCTCTCTCTTTCTCTCTCTCTCTCTCTCTTTCTCCCTCCCTCCCCCCTATAGCAGAATATGTCTACATATCTACAGATGTCGCCAAAAGAAAGATAGAAAAGTGTTTCCAGGATGTTATATCATTTCCATACATTTCCTTTGTAATTTCCAAGTTTCCAGCTTTTTTATCTTGGGGTTGCCATGAATATCGGTGACCTGACAGCATTCTGCGCCTCAACTTCGCAGGAATGTGCCTGTCATCCCAGGTACTGACCAATCACTGATCCAAACATTGATCCTTGTGGTTTTGCCCGTTGCAGTATGTTGCAACATTCAAAGCAACTCTAAGCAACTCTAAGCAACTCTAAGCAACTCTCCAACATATCAAACTTGGCTCAAATCCATCTTGATCGGTTGTATTCGACGTTGGTACCTCAAACTGCTTGGATCCTAGATGTGACTATATCTGACATCCACGAAATGTTTGTTTCTCCCCCAGTTTGGGGCAAGGTTCTAACCACGTTTCACCCTGGGAATTTCACGGGAACTCTGCCTCACATCGGTCCAGCTCTGGCAAGCGAAAACGTGCCACGCCTGCATGGGTTTCCCTGATGTCCAACCCTACAGGACCTACAGCATCCAACCTTCCTGGGCTAATCACTGCAGAGAAATCACAGAAAGGACAGTGGGGGATTTCTTGAGGATTATATAGGGTTATCTTTCCCTGCTTTACTTCTCTGCTTTTCCCTGCTTAATTGCTTTTCTGCTTTTCTACCTCTTTGCTGTTCTGCTTCTCCACTTTTCTGCTTCTCTGCTTTCCCTTATTTTTTGCTTCTTAAGCCTAAACAATCCCTAAGATACATTAACATAGACCCGGGCAAGCCGGCGGCGGAAGTTTCCCAAACATAAATGACCTATAGTTCAAAGACACCCTGTCCCGACCGTGTCCTTCCCTCGACACTCCACACCTCACACTGCACACTGCACTCTTCGCACTCCAAACTTCAAACTTCACACTCCACACTTCTCACTTCTCACTGATTCCTTCACACTCCAAACCTCACACTTCACACTTCACACTTCACACTGCACACTTCACACTTCACAGTCCACACTTCACACTTCACAGTCCACACTTCACACTTCACAGTCCACACTTCACACTTCACAGTCCACACTTCTCACTTCGCACTTCACACTTCGCACCCAGCCCTCGGCCGTCAAATGAGAGTTGAAACCTCTGCGGCAAGACCTTGTCTGCGCTTCATCTCAGCATCAACAAACTCTGGTTGAAAGGACCGCACAGCTTCCCAGAGATGACGGTATTGTCTGCGGAGAACTTCGTCGTCCGACTCTTTGTCGTCCAACCACGTACTGTTGTTGTGCAAGACGATTTTGAAGCACTTTTTAAAAGGATTTTTTGCAGGAAAATCACTAGCGCCAAAATGGAGAAAATCTGCTGACAAATCACTGTCGCAGCCTTCACGCAGCCACTCCAATACGATTTACGAAGTCGAGCTGCAAAAGACAATAGTATTACGAATGCAGCCACAGCACGAAGCAACCTTGACGCAGCCATTACAATGCGATCTGCAGAGACTGAGTTGCAAAGCACAATAGAACTACACACAACGGCGTCGGAAATTGTGGCTCCAAAACCAGATCTCGACGCCAGAGCGAAAAAAAAGACGATTTTGAAACACTTTTTAAAAGGATTTTTTAAAAAAAGAAAATCGCTAGCGCCAAAATGGAGAAAATCTACTGACAAATCAGTGTCGCAGCCTTCATGCAGCCACTCCAATACGATTTACGAAGTCGAGCTGCAAAAGACAATAGTATTACGAATGCAGCCACAGCACGAAGCAACCTTGACGTAGCCATTACAATGCGATCTGCAGAGACTGAGTTGCAAAACACAATAGAACTACGCACAACGGCGTCGGAAATTGTAGCTCCAAAACCGGATCTCGACGCCAGAGCGAAAAAAAAACGATTTTGAAACGCTTTTTAAAAGGATTTTTAAAAAGAAAATCACTAGCGCCAAAATGGAGAAAATCTACTGACAAATCAGTGTCGCAGCCTTCATGCAGTCACTCCAATACGATTTACGAAGTCTAGCTGCAAAAAACAATAGTATTACGAACGCAGCCACAGCACGAAGCAACCTTGACGCAACCACTACAATGTAATCTGCAGAGACTGAGTTGCAAAACACAATAGAACTACGCACAACGGCGTCGGAAATTATAGCTCCAAAACCGGATCTCGACGCCAGAGCGAAAAAAAGACGATTTTGAAACACTTTTTAAAAGGATTTTTAGAAAGAAAATCACAAACGCCAAAATGGAGAAAATCTACTGACAAATCAGTGTCGCAGTCTTCATGCAGCCACTCCAATACGATTTAAAAAGTCCAGCTGCAAAAGACAATAGTATTACCAATACAGCCACAGCACGAAGCAACCTTGACACAGCCATTTACATTGCGGGAACGATCCTACAGTTACAAAGCACAATGGAATTCCATTGGCAACTCATCCGCCAGCAACACTTGCAATCCCATTTACATTGAGGGAACGATCCTAGAGTTGCAAATCACAATGCAATTCCATCAGCAACTCGTCCGCAGCAACACTTGCAACCCCATTTACAATGCGGAATCGATCCGAGAATGATCCGAGGATGATCCGAACATATCCGAGAATGATCCGACCACACCCGAGACCGTCTCGCACCCGTCGCACCGCAAAGGTAGATCATCGAGGTACGGGGACGCACTTTGTATGGAAAAACATAGGGTTTCGTGTATCTGCTATCTCTCAAAAACGCATTTCGTGCGAGACTTCCTCCAAAACTCCATCGGCAACTCCTCCACCAGCACCACTTGCAATGCCATTTACAGTGAGGGAACGATCCTAAAGTTGCAAATCACAATGCAATTCCATCAGCAACTCGTCCACCAGCATCTCTTCCAACCCCATTTACAATGCGGGAACGATCCTACAGTTGCAAATCACAATGGAATTCTGTCGACCACACATGCACGAAAAACAGTTGACACCCCATTTACAATGCGGAACCGATCCGAGAATGATCCGAGGATGATCCGAACATATCCGAGAATGATCCGACCATACACGAGACCGTCTCGCACCCGTCGCACCGCAGAGGTAGATCATCGAGGTTCGGGGACGCACTTTGTATGGAAAAACATAGGGTTTCGTGCATCTGCTATCTCTCAAAAACGCATTTCGTGCGAGACTTCCTCCAAAACTCCATCGGCAACTCCTCCACCAGCACCACTTGCAATGCCATTTACAGTGAGGGAACGATCCTAAAGTTGCAAACCACAATGCAATTCCATCAGCAACTCGTCCACCAGCAACACTTGCAACCCCATTTACAATGCGGGAACGATCCTACAGTTGCAAATCACAATGGAATTCTGTCGACCACACATGCACGAAAAACAGTTGACACCCCATGTACAATGCGGAACCGATCCGAGAATGATCCGAACATATCCGAGAATGATCCGACCACACACGAGACCGTCTCGCACCCGTCGCACCGCAGAGGTAGATCATCGAGGTTCGGGGACGCACTTTGTATGGAAAAACATAGTGTTTCGTGCATCTGCTATCTCTCAAAAACGCATTTCGTGCGAGACTTCCTCCAAAACTCCATAGGCAACTCCTCCACCAGCACCACTTGCAATGCCATTTACAGTGAGGGAACGATCCTAAAGTTGCAAATCACAATGCAATTCCATCAGCAACTCGTCCACCAGCAACACTTGCAACCCCATTTACAATGCGGGAACGATCCTACAGTTGCAAATCACAATGGAATTCTGTCGCCCACACATGCACGAAAAACAGTTGACACCCCATTTACATTGCGGAACCGATCCGAGGATGATCCGAACATATCCGAGAATGATCCGACCACACACGAGACCGTCTCGCACCCGTCGCACCGCAAAGGTAGATCATCGAGGTTCGGGGACGCACTTTGTATGGAAAAACATAGGGTTTCGTGCATCTGCTATCTCTCAAAAACGCATTTCGTGCGAGACTTCCTTCAAAACTCCATCGGCAACTCATCCGGCAGCACCACTTGCAATCCCATTTGCATTGCGGGAACAATCCTACAGTTGCAAATTAACAATGCTGACGAACTCTTTCCCTCACTAACTCTTCTTGACTAATGTTTCTTTGACTAACTCCTTGACTCACTAAACTCTTTCTTTGACTAACTCTTTCTTTGACTAACTGTTTCTTTGACTAACTCTTTCTTTGACTAACTTTTTCCCTGACTAACTGTTTCTTTGACTAACTCTTTCTTTGACTAACTCTTTCTTTGACTAACTCTTTCTTTGACTCACTCTTTCTTTGACTAATTGTTTCTTTGACTAATTCTTTCTTTGACTAACTCTTTCTTTAACTAACTGTTTCTTTGACTAACTGTTGCTTTGACTGACTCTTTCTTTGACTAACTCTTTCCCTCACCAACTCTTTCCCTCACTAACTCTTTCTTTGACTAACTGTTTCCCTCACCAACTCTTTCTTTGACTAACTGTTTCTTTGACTAACTGTTTCTTTGACTAACTGTTTCTTTGACATTCTAAAAGTCCGTAACACGGAAGTTTCTCCCACTAAACTTCCTTTGATAAAAATAAGCTTCGGCGGTACCCCCAACAGCCGCAACGCTTTATGTTTACAAATCTTTTTGAAGCGTGCCGCGAAGCCAAGAGCTGGAAAAACCTCAGCTGGGTTTCCGTTAGTTAAATGAACCTGACTTGGCTTGGCTTCTGCAACCTTCTCCAGAACTCGTTGAACCTGACTTGACTCTGCACCAAAGCCTCCCAGACCTTCTCCGGAACCTTCTCCGCAACCCTGTTGAACCTGACCTGGCTCTGCACCAAAGCCTCTCAGGCCTTCTCCGGAACCTTCTCCGGAACCCTGTTGAACCTGACCCGGCGCCTGCACCAGTGCACACCGGAGATATTCTGGGCTGAAGACCCCATTAGCTTATGCTGTTGGGGAATAAACCCCAAACCAACCTTAAATAAACCAACCCTAAGCCAAACTTAAACCAACCCTAAACCAACGCTAAACGAATCCTATAGTTGCAAAATACCATGCGACATGAACAGTTCAAGCACCAACATATTGCAAATACGAGGGAAAATGAGAGGTTCGAACTCCGAAATGTTGCAAAATACCGATGAAATGTTAGCTTGCAGCTCCAAAATGCTGCAAACCGCAAGGGAAACGGACAGGACAGGAGATCCAAAAAAACTTCCCAAAACGGAAAAAACAGGATTCCCCAAACAATTCCGGATCCTTTCTTTGGGGAATCCCTTAAGTCACGGGTTTCAATGCTCGCCTGTGGCCCTTGCGGTGCTACCTGACCTGGCGGGGTTCACCGGGGCCTTGAGGGCTCCATCCGTTCAATTTAGTGAAGGTTAGTTTGATAATGTCTGATTTTCTGATTATGTCTGAAAAATTGTTGATTAGTCCACTTTTTGGCATTTCTGAACTCCGATCATGATCTTCATGATCTTCATGATCTTCATGATCTCATGATTTCAGGACATGGGGGGCTCAGCATGCCAAGGCCGGGTACTTGTCAAGTCCAATGCCTTCACCAAAAAAATCAAAAAACGCGGTGAATGGGACTGTTCCACCCAGGGGTGATGGAGTGATGGTCGTAGACTCTTAGAGCTTGAACTAAGCATTAGTAAAATCCATCGGTGTCCACCTGCACATAGATCATGAGAAACTGATGCCCCTCTTTTGGTCAGTTCACCCTGGTCCGCTTCTGTTAACATCAAAATGTATCAAAGTAGACAAAAACGAATGTTCATCATTCTTCATCCGCCCAAAAAATCTGTAAACACATAGGTAACTTGATCCATACACTAAATCAATGGAGGTCTCATCCCGTTTTGATCCTACGGAAATTAAGTGACCATCAACACATGAACCATGGAAAATCACAGGTGACTTAAATTTTCATAAGCGAACAAGGCTGATCCATTAAAGCTATAGAAGTAACATGGATTAAAGCATATTAACATACTCATTCATAGCATATTCATAGCATTCATATCATTCAGGTCCCATCGACGATCCCGCGATCTGAGAACTCTGACGACTTCTTATCAAGGGCTTGTGGTGGATCTTCCCAGAAACGCTCAAAGAAGTCCAGGCCGCTGTCCTTTTGCGTCAAAACGATGTCAACGATGTCAATGGATGACATTGGTGGGAAATCTATGGTTAATTGGTGGGACATTTCTTGGTTGATCCCAACCAAAAATAGGGATTGTTGGAAAAACTCCCAAAAATCCATGGATTCTCTCTATCCGACTCCATCCACGGTATCACTATGTGATGGGATTTCCTGCAACATTTTCAACCGATGGAGGATAGATGGGGCGACTCGCGGCAAGCGGATGCGGTGAGGTGTGATGGGTTCTGTCCTTACAAAATGAATGGCTTAGGTAATGGAGAACTTATCACAGATGGCAGATCATGGTATTTCTGCATTTGGATCGAATACGTGACATAACATTGCTATTGTTGTTGGGTGGTTTTTGAAGCAGCTCTGAGATAGCTGTTGTTATTGGTGGTCAAATTGATTTCTGGGAACTAAACAACCCAAATATCATCAAACATCTTCCCATTTCTTGTTTTCTTCCGACTAATCATCGGCAAAACTAGGAGAGATGACTGTCAGGTCTGAGCAGCATTTACCAATGAAGGAGCACTGCTGGATTGCCATGCTGCAATCCGTGGCCTTCTGCCATATCGGCATATCGGGGAATCATCCTGATCTCATTGAGAACTGTGGGTTTTGTCGGGATCTCCCAATGATTTGTGGAGTTGAATTGCAATCTGGGGGCCAAACATCCAGTACGAATTTTTGACGCACTTCACGCCACCCAGAATAGACCCAAATATGAATCAAAGCAATGAATCATTGCGTTGGTTTAATCATGTTTAAGGATAAATCTACAGGATTTTATGGTTTTTACAATCAAACACATGGTTGTCCTGTCAATGATCCCTCCAATTCTGGGAATGAAACGTGGAAAACAAACCAATGGTTGCGCTTCCCATGGCGTCAAATTGATACCTGAAAAGTTGGATTTTCCAGACATAGAGTTTTCATCCTTTAACTCATGTGGTAAACCATGGTAACCCCAAGGACTTTAAGACCTTTTCTGGGGGCTTTAAATACCTCGATGTCTGTCTCAAGTCCCTGGGTAAGGTATGGCCGATGACTGGCTACGCAATATCGACTCCTGCTCTCCAGACAGGTCAACCGGCTCTTCCTCTTCCTGCCACGTGCCGGGAGAGCCACAAGACCGCTTCCTACTATACAAACCTATACAATCATCAAAAATCATCAAAATATGCGGAATCCTCCAACCATCTCCCACTTCATCACACTTCCCTTTCGTGAAACTCGTGAAACCACGACCCATCACTGGCGCCTCGTCGTCTTCCTCCGGATCTGCATCTTCGAAGATCTCTTCTTCCTCACCCTCGCCCGCCTCAATGGCGACCAGCTTGTGGTGGATGTGAATGGGCTATGGCTTGTTGATGCTTATTGTTTGGATTTGTTTGGTTTATCACACTTTGGCACGCATATGTACATTATGTATCATTATGTTACATATCCATTTTCAGAGTCACAGTTTGCCCAGAGTGGCACAATTGCCCCAACATCTCAGTTTGGCAGGAAGGAGCAGGGGAACAATGCTTTCGTTGAAAAATCTTCATGGAGCCACGTGAAGAAGCGGTTTCCTTCCGTAGCGATCAAGGTTTTCTGAAGGACCACCACTCCACCAGAGAAAAGCACATGTGCAGCACATGTTGGACCTGCAAACATCAACTGCAAACAGAACAAATTATTTGGTTAGGGAATTGGAACTAGGCATACTTTTAATTCGTTTTTAAAATTCCAACGGTTGCTATTCATTGGGTTGAAGCAAGGCTACAGATAGAACTGGAACTTGTTGGGGATATTTGTTGGTATCACTCCACGGGGTATTCACTACAGCCACTTTACTGGGCTTTGAGCTAATGCTATATAGCTCAAGCATGGGACTTGGTTGCAACCGTCCAATGTTTGGGTTAAATGATTTCGAGCCATCATCTTTGGGATGATCTCCGCAGCCATCATCCATGGCGAGATGGTTGTAAAGTCCAAATCCAGAAAGCTCCACATTGAAACATGGTGAAACATGGTGAAACCCTAAAATCCGCCGACCCCGGCCGACGCAAGGGGGAGCGCGTAAGGGAAGAAGATGGAAGAAAAGGACTTGCAGCAGCCAGCAGGCATACTTGCAGCAGCCAGCAGGCATGTGAGGCAGCAGCAGCAGCAGCAGCAGCTGGTGCGATTTGGTGGCTTCTTCGTCCTTCACTGCCATGGTGTTTCAGGCTGGCGGGTCCGACAATTTTGGCGGCTCAGAAGCTGTAAGTTGAAGAGCTAGTTGAAGAGCTAGTTCTCTAGGATTTCGGAAGGGACGTCAAGCCTCGGGACAGCATTTGACTTCGTTGTGGAGCTGTTTTGAGGGCATGGGAGCTGGCAGCAGCAGTCACCGTTGGATGGATTGGATTGGATGGCGACCGTTGGATGGATTGGATTGGATGCGATTTCTAGCAAGGAATGGGAATGGGAGTGTTTACTTTTTTTTAGCAGCCGTCGCAGCTAGCCAGCCAGCAGCAGCAGCAGCAGCAATCAAAAGTGGATTGGGAATTTGCACCAATGGGTGTCAAGAACGTGGGGCAAGAGCACGCAAAAGGTGCACATAGCCAGACTAGCTAGCAGACCAGTCGCCCAGTAAAAGCCAGCAGCCAGTAGCCAGCAGCCTACCAAAAATCTAGATTTTTCTAGGATTTCAGACGACACGTTAGGCACTTTTTTGGCGTGGTTCTGGCACTCGCTCGTCCTTCAGAGCCCTGGTGTTTTCCCCCCGGCAGGTGATTTTTTCGAACCTGTTTTACTGCTAGCAGCCGCCAGCAACAGAATCTATCGAAAAATTGTGTTTTTCTAGGGTGTCAGACGACACGTTAGGCACTTCTATATATCTTGTATATATTTCTATAGGGTTTCAAACGTGACGTTTGGCAGTTTTCTCGTTTATATGGCACCAATGGGTGTCAAGAACATGGCGCCAGTAGCAGCAGCCAGCCAGCAGAAAGAGTGCACTAGCTGTTTCTAGGATTTCAGACAAGTTTAGGAGCAGGAGCCGCAGCAGCAGGAGGAAAAAGTAGCCAAAATCATCATGTTCTATGGGTTTCAGAAGTTACGTTAGGGCATTTTCGGGGTGCAATTTTGGGGCTTATGGGCAAGAGCACGCAAAAGGGCAGCAGCAGCAGCAGCAGCAGTTGTTTCTTGCTTTGGAAGCTGTTTGATTGCAGCAGCACGACAGCAGCACCACAGCAGCAGCAGCCACCAGCAGCAGCACCAGCAGGAGGCAGCAGGCCGCCGCAGGCAGCAGCAGGCAGCAGCAGACAGCAGCAAGCATCAGTAGGCAGCAGCAGACACAAGCAGACGCAGCAGCAGTAAGCGCAACGGCAGCAGTGCAGCAGCTAGCAGCACGAAAAATTGTGTTTTTCTAGGATGGCATGGGTGTCAAGAACGTGGGCAAGAGCACGCAAAAGGTGCACATAGCCAGTAGCTAGCAGCCAGCGCCAGTAGCAGCCAGCAGCTAGTAGCCAGCAGCCTACCCAAAATCTAGATTTTTCTAGGATTTCAGACGACACGTTAGGCACTTTTTTGGCGTGGTTCTGGCACTCGCTCGTCCTTCAGAGCCCTGGTGTTTTCCCCCGGCAAGTGATTTTTTCGAACCTGTTTTACTGCTAGCAGCCGCCAGCAACAGAATCTATCGAAAAATTGTGTTTTTCCAAGCAGACGCAGCAGCAGCAAGCGCAACGGCAGCAGTGCAGCAGCTAGAAAAATTGTGTTTTTCTAGGATGGCATGGGTGTCAAGAACGTGGGCAAGAGCACGCAAAAGGTGCACATAGCCAGTAGCTAGCAGCCAGCGCCAGTAGCAGCCAGCAGCCAGTAGCCAGCAGCCTACCAAAAATCTAGATTTTTCTAGGATTTCAGACGACACGTTAGGCACTTTTTTGGCGTGGTTCTGGCACTCGCTCGTCCTTCAGAGCCCTGGTGTTTTCCCCCCCGGCAGGTGATTTTTTCGAACCTGTTTTCTCTAGGATTTCGGAAGGGACGTCAAGCCTCGGGACCGCATTTGACTTCGTTGTGGAGCTGTTTTGAGGGCATGGGAGCTGGCAGCAGCAGTCACCGTTGGATGGATTGGATTGGATGCGATTTCTAGCAGGATAAGGAATGGGAGTGGTTTACTTTTAGCCGTCGCAGCTAGCCACCAGCAGCAGCAGCAGCAGCAGCAGCAATCAAAAATGGATTGGAATTTGCACCAATGGGTGTCAAGAACGTGGGCAAGAGCACGCAAAAGGTGCACATAGCCAGTAGCTAGCAGCCAGCGCCAGTAGCAGCCAGCAGCCAGTAGCCAGTAGCCTACCAAAAATCTAGATTTTTCTAGGATTTCAGACGACACGTTAGGCACTTTTTTGGCGTGGTTCTGGCACTCGCTCGTCCTTCAGAGCCCTGGTGTTTTCCCCCCCGGGAGGTGATTTTTTCGAAACTGTTTTACTGCTAGCAGCCGCCAGCAACAGAATCTATCGAAAAATTGAGTTTTTCTAGGGTGTCAGACGACACGTTAGGCACTTCTATATATCTTGTATATATTTCTATAGGGTTTCAAACGTGACGTTTGGCAGTTTTCTCGTTTATATGGCACCAATGGGTGTCAAGAACATGGGCAAGAGCACGCAAAAGGTGCACATAGCCAGTAGCTAGCAGCCAGCGCCAGTAGCAGCCAACAGCCAGTAGCCAGCAGCCTACCAAAAAATCTAGCTTTTTCTAGGATTTCAGACAAGTTTAGGAGCAGGAGCCGCAGCAGCAGCAGGAGGAAAAAGTAGCCAAAATCATCATGTTCTATGGGTTTCAGAAGTTACGTTAGGCATTTTCGGGGTGCAATTTTGGGGCTTATGGGCAAGAGCACGCAAAAGGGCAGCAGCAGCAGCAGCAGAAGCAGCAGCAGCAGCAGCAGTTGCTTCTTGCTTTGGAAGCTGTTTGATTGCAGCAGCACGACAGCAGCACCACAGCAGCAGCAGCCACCAGCAGCAGCACCAGCAGGAGGCAGCAGGCCGCCGCAGGCAGCAGCAGGCAGCAGCAAGCATCAGTAGGCAGCAGCAGACACAAGCAGACGCAGCAGCAGTAAGCGCAACGGCAGCAGTGCAGCAGCTTGCAGCAGCTAGCAGCACGAAAAATTGTGTTTTTCTAGGATGGCACCAATGGGTGTCAAGAACGTGGGCAAGAGCACGCAAAAGGTGCACATAGCCAGTAGCTAGCAGCCAGCGCCAGTAGCAGCCAGCAGCCGGTAGCCAGCAGCCTACCAAAAATCTAGCTTTTTCTAGGATTTCAGACGACACGTTAGGCACTTTTTTGGCGTGGTTCTGGCACTCGCTCGTCCTTCAGAGCCCTGGTGTTTTCCCCCCCGGCAGGTGATTTTTTCGAACCTGTTTTACTGCTAGCAGCCGCCAGCAACAGAATCTATCGAAAAATTGTGTTTTTCCAAGGGTGCAGCAGCGAGCACAGCAAGCTAGCAGCACGAAAAATTGTGTTTTTCTATGGGTGTCAAGAACGTGGGCAAGAGCACGCAAAAGGTGCACATAGCCAGTAGCCTAGCAGCCAGCGCCAGTAGCAGCCAGCAGCCAGTAGCCAGCAGCCTACCAAAAATCTAGATTTTTCTAGGATTTCAGACGACACGTTAGGCACTTTTTTGGCGTGGTTCTGGCACTCGCTCGTCCTTCAGAGCCCTGGTGTTTTCCCCCCCGGCAGGTGATTTTTTCGAACCTGTTTTACTGCTAGCAGCCGCCAGCAACAGAATCTATCGAAAAATTGTGTTTTTCTAGGGTGTCAGACGACACGTTAGGCACTTCTATATATCTTGTATATATTTCTATAAGGTTTCAAACGTGACGTTTGGCAGTTTTCTCGTTTATATAGCACCAATGGGTGTCAAGAACATGGGCAAGAGCACGCAAAAGGTGCACATAGCCAGTAGCTAGCAGCCAGCGCCAGTAGCAGCCAACAGCCAGTAGCCAGCAGCCTACCAAAAATCTAGCTTTTTCTAGGATTTCAGACGACACGTTAGGCACTTTTTTGGCGTGGTTCTGGCACTCGCTCGTCCTTCAGAGCCCTGGTGTTTTCCCCCCCGGCAGGTGATTTTTTCGAACCTGTTTTACTGCTAGCAGCCTCCGGCAACAGAATCTGTCGAAAAATTGTGTTTTTCTAGGATGTCAGACGACACGTTAGGCACTTCTATATATCTTGTATATATTTCTATAGGGTTTCAGACGTCACGTTTGGCAATTTTCTCATTTATATGGCACCAATGGGTGTCAAGAACATGGGCAAGAGCATGCAAAAGGGCAGCAGCAGCAGCAGAAGCAGCAGCAGCTTGTTTCTTGCTTTGGAAGCTGTTTGATTGCAGCAGCACGACAGCAGCACCACAGCAGCAGCAGCCACCAGCAGCAGCATCAGCAGCAGGCAGCAGGCCGCCGCAGGCAGCAGCAGGCAGCAGCAAGCATCAGTAGGCAGCAGCAGACACAAGCAGACGCAGCAGCAGTACGCGCAACGGCAGCAGTGCAGCAGCTAGCAGCACGAAAAATTGTGTTTTTCAAGGATGGCACTAGTCACTAATGGCTAGCAGCCAGCGCCAGTAGCAGCCAGCAGCCAGTAGCCAGCAGCCTACCAAAAATCTCTAGATTTTTCTAGGATTTCAGACGACACGTTAGGCACTTTTTTGGCGTGGTTCTGGCACTCGCTCGTCCTTCAGAGCCCTGGTGTTTTCCCCCCGGCAGGTGATTTTTTCGAACCTGTTTTACTGCTAGCAGCCGCCAGCAACAGAATCTATCGAAAAATTGCGTTTTTCCAAGCAGACGCAGCAGCAGTAAGCGCAACGGCAGCAGTGCAGCAGCTAGCAGCACGAAAAATTGTGTTTTTCTAGGATGGCACCAATGGGTGTCAAGAACGTGGGCAAGAGCACGCAAAAGGTGCACATAGCCAGTAGCTAGCAGCCAGCGCCAGTAGCAGCCAGCAGCCAGTAGCCAGCAGCCTACCAAAAATCTAGATTTTTCTAGGATTTCAGACGACACGTTAGGCACTTTTTGGGCGTGGTTCTGGCACTCGCTCGTCCTTCAGAGCCCTGGTGTTTTCCCCCCCGGCAGGTGATTTTTTCGAACCTGTTTTACTGCTAGCAGCCGCCAGCAACAGAATCTATCGAAAAATTGTGTTTTTCTAGGGTGTCAGACGACACGTTAGGCACTTCTATATATCTTGTATATATTTCTATAGGGTTTCAAACGTGACGTTTGGCAGTTTTCTCGTTTGGTGGTTAAGTACATCCTCCAATCATCATCGACTTGAGATGTCACATCTCAAACAGTGGTGGAAAAGGAAAACCGAAAAGCTCCCATCATGATCATCATGCTTAGCTTCGCAATGTCTTGCCAAGCCATTCTTGGGCTGCGGCATTGGTACTTCTTGCATCTTCTTGTGTTGTTGCTGCAATGTTGGTCAGCAACTAGCAAAGAAGAATCTGTTTTCAAGCTAGGTGTTGCATCTTAACTGCCCAGAATCACGTATGGTGGATCAGCTACATTTGGCTACTTGTTGAACCAGCAAAATCCCTATACCAAGGGGCCCAGCTTCTTCAAAAATTGCACCCCGGAATCTACGACTCGCAGGGTGCAATTGATATATTTCTTAGGTTGGTACCAAGATTTCCCTGCTTCAACAAGTAACCAAATGTAGCTAATCCACCATACTTGCTTCCGGGGTCGGCGGCAGGGGCGGCAGCCCTTAAATAAAATGATCAACTGAATAGTAACTGAATAGTAACTATTGGGTCATTGGGCGAAATCTTGACCTGACACCCTTTGACACCCTGACACCCGACCTCCATCAGTTGGGACACGTCTGGACCTGAGAGAATTGATGGACCTGGGTTGTCACCCGGTCCAATAGGTAGATCCTGATCGTACTGATTTTCCAGCTGGAAAGAACAATTTTTTTGGTGCTAACCGGTCACGATGTCATGTAACCCATGAGTTAAATCTTTTCCGGAGCCAGTTTTTGGAGCTTTGACACCTCTGGATTTCTATCAGGGGGCATGGACCTAAATACATTTTCCCAAATCTACATCAGCCAGCCGAGAGTTCACCATGATCAAATTTGAGGTTTCACCCTCAAAATCATGACATCCAGCAAATCACAGCAACCAATTCAGCCATATGCAGCATTCATCAGTTGCGGCCACCTGGGAAACATCAATGGTCGATGATAAACTCCCATAGCTAGATCGTTTCAGATCCAAAAATGGCCAACCATTCCCAAAGGGTGCCCCCAATGACTGGAGATTTTTGCTTTCAGCATCCATCTGAGCAGCGTTAAAAACCCATCGGAAGAAAAACATCATTATGGTTGGTGAAAGGGGGGAAGCCCAGTTGATGGATTATCATACTCAGCTATTTATGTAGTATACACCCCTATAATCAACCAAACATGATTTCTCAATCAATACCTCTTGAAACCGACCATCATTTATCATCGCCATCACTTTTGGATGGTCAAACCACTTGGAACTCCTATTAATGGTTGTTAAATCCCACAAACATATCATCAAACCCATTTTCAGAAAATGATGGTATCCCAATTTTAAAAAAGAGTTCTCATCAATTCGTATTGGCCCCATAATAATCATGGTGAAATCATCTGGTTGGTGGTGCAATGTGCCCATCTTGAAAAATATGAGTTCGTCAGTTGGGATGGATTATTCCCAATAAATGGAAAAATAAAAGCCATGTTCCAAACCACCAATCAGATAATCATGGTGAAATCATGGTAATTTCATATTTTTCCCATGAAAATCTGCAGAAGCCCTGGCCATCCCTGGCACCTCCTTCCTCTCCATCTTGGCCCTCGGGGCCCTCGGGGCCCTCGGCCTCTGCTTCATCCTCTTCGTCCTGAGATGGACAATTCACCCCATCCGATCATGTCATAGCTGTCCAAAACAAGGCTTTTATTAAACAAACTGATATTTTCACAGGGAATATATGTGAACAATTGTGAACATGAGGTTCTAAATGGTTTGCATCCGGAATTCAGGGTAAGGTATTTTCCAAACCGCAAGTGATAGGATGGAAATTCAAGCGTGTAACCGAAACTAGATTCACGAACATTCTGACACCGGCAGATTCCCTGGTGGATCCTTTTGGGCACAAAATTCCCAGGGTTTCTGGCTCGTTCTTCATACTTTCTGCACCTGTTGCTTCTGCTTTGCCCATGTTTGAACGTAGGGATGCCGACCAAACCTATCCCAAGAACCGGAAACCAGCGGCCAGCGGAGATCGGACCTCAGATCCTTCGGATCCGTCAGATCCTTCATCTTCCGATGGCTGTTGGCTCACTCCAAAGGCTTCCAAGAGCTTTGAAAAGCCAGGCCTTGGAAACAACAAACGACTTAAGTGACTTCAAACTTCATGGCATCCTTGTTGGTATACCAACCATACCCAGACATACCCCAGCTTGAAATATGATCTCCTGATTTGGACACACTTTTTGAGCACTTTTCCCAATTTTCCAGCTGTATTTTCCATGGGTTTCATACCGTTCTTGCACCCAAAATGGGAAGCCAACTTGGCTCTTCGTGCAGCTGCCTTGCGTCGCCGCTCCTAACATGGCACGGGATATCTTAGTGGGAGATCTTGGAAGGTAATAGTTGATATATATATGAATATAATATATATATATATACATATGTAATTCAGGGAGTATTGCGGACTCACCAAATTTTGCCTCGGCATGAGTATCGACACGTGCAATCAATTTCAACACTCATATGCATATCCCTGGAATTTGACGGATGGATGGATGATGATTAAATCCCTGATTTGATATGGGACTTGGTTAAACGTAGACAACTCCAAAAAATTGGCAATTTGGAGGTGGAATCGGTCAAAATTCATATTCCTCTGTAACAATCTCTGCATCTCCAAAGCATTTACATCATCTTGTGGATCGATAGGGTCCCACTCCTGAAAACGGAGGATTCGCCAATGGGGTCCATGGACCCTTGGTCCATCAACCCGGAAACGTGAAACCCATGGAACCTCCATCCTGCGGTTGCTGTTGAGGCTATGACTGGAATGCTTTAAAATGACCCCGGTCATGGTGACAATGGGATGGTGACAATAGCGGGGAACACCACATTAATATGCATTAATGGAATACATTGCATTTCCAGCATTTATTGGGGGATATAATGGATGTTGGATATAATGGAAACATCATGGACTACACACACATATACATATACATATATATATATATAATATTATATAACTATATATCATGGAATGTCTACCACATTGCAAGAACTACAAACATCTGCATCTCCAATCCCTTCAGCCTTCAAGTCCCACTCCATCACTCCTCATCCTTCAACTCCTCTTCACGCCGTGCAGCCTCTGCAGCAGCCTGTTGCGGCTCTGTTGCGCTGGCCCTGCTGAAAAAATGTGAGGGTTCGAACGCAAGAAATGAGCTCGGCATCCCGGAGAACCAAGATTTCGACGGCACAATCTAACACGCGAAATGAAGATGCCTTGTGGGTGAAGCAGGTGATTTTCATGGCGAACCATGGTGAACCATATTAGCAAAGATTGACATGCCACAGGATTCACCGGAAGATCATTCCATGGGAAATCTGAATCATCCCTAGGCGATCCTCAACATCGAGATGTAAAAAAAAAGGTCTGTTTGAGAATAGGGCACCCTAAAATCCCATTGGGTGTTTAAATCTTGTCATTAAGATCAATTTTGTGGAATCCCTCAATCCCTCAATTTTCAAACCAAATTGCTCCTTGGCGGCTTCTTTGGCCGCAGCTTTCTCGTTGCCTGCCACAGCACTTCGAAGATGCGTCTGAGAAAGGATATCCTCAACTTGATGATTTACCATCGTTTTCCCCTTACAATAACCATTTCAAGGTTTTTTCCCACCACATGATTCGCTCAAGAGACTGACCAACCATTGACTTTCTCTACCAAAATTTAGGAATATTTTTTTTGTTGTTGACATCAATCTTCTTGTCGGTTCAACATCCGTTCTCGGGTATGAAGGAATCGCATTCTCGTTTCCTGTAGTCGCTAGGTGAAAGGTAAACCATGGTAAAACTAACTCATTGTTTGTCAACACCCCAAGTCAATCAACAGCTCCTCTGGTTGTTTCACCCAAAATGTCAGGGCATCATCCTAAGTCTTTAAGTGAGAGGAATAACTCTTTGAAATCACCAAGCCAGTGCTGATTGAACGAGTTTCACAACTCTTCTCTTTGGGGGCGCTGTTTCGGATCACCCGTCCCACACGGTCTGTGCCTTTCTTCTTGGGCGGTTCATCGCCTGCAATCCATTGATATCGTAGATTGGATTCTAGTCATTAATCAGGTTTTTCATCCTTTCCATATACCAGTCGGCTACAGTATCCTTTGTGTGGATTTCATATGGCAGAAACCATGTTTTTTTTTGTGGAAGATGAACCTGGATAAACTCAGGCAGGTTTCAAAACCATGAGATATTTAGATGCTGCACGCAAGTTCGTTTTGCGCTCCAAAGTTCTGTCCATGGTGGGTGGGGGCCCGCACACTCTCGGCACAACATTGCAGATGGATATGTTTTTGTGGTTGTTGCTTTCTTGCTGTAATTCGTTAACATGGCCACCCAAATCCTGAACATGGCTTGTGCAATCATATGACGTCCTCATTCTGGTTAATTGCATCGTTGATATGTGTTGATATGTGTTAATATGTTAATATATGTTCATATCCTCTTGCATTCCCGAATATCGCTGCACATGTCCCGCCCTCTTGGCACCGCACCTTCTTCCATCTGCCTTCTCTTTTTACGTGCACCTGTCAGATCATCTTAGACCGGGATTCTATCCTCATCAGCCAAAACAGAGCCAGGAAGTAGAAAGAAATACACATGGCACCAACGGTTGCCTTCCAAGGCAAAACCATAACTTCATACTCAACAGATTTCTTTCTGTTTTTGGCAGAATGGTACTTTCCCAGCAGAACGGCAGCTGTCACGATCCTTGAAGACTTTCCACGAACAAATGGCAGCAAGGAAGGATCCAACCGGCTGGTATGATTCGTAGAAGTCACAATTGAGCGACTGAAATGGGAGACCCCAATGATGTACCATGCAACGGTCCGCAAAACGCCAAGCCCAACAGTTTTTTTGCATCTCCTGAGCTAATTACATTTGAAGGTGGACAACTTTGGAATATTTCTACAATCTTAGGAGGTTTGTAAGCCCAATACTGCTGACCCTTAGCCACTAAAATCATTAAGGTTTCCCACATTTTGGCCTTAGTATCTTGGAGCAATGCATCAACGTCGATCGCAGATATGGGTAGTTCAACGAGGCTGAACTACAAGGCTTCACATACCTGAGTGCACATTCTAAATTCATGGTGAGGTTATTTGAGGTCTTTATAATTCACCCAAAAAAATGCCGAAACAACCCGGCATCTGTGGTCTATCAAACACCTCGCGGTTGGATCAGAGGTGCCTTTGCCGCGACCCTTTCCTTTGCGCTTCCCGCCCATGGCTGGCAGTCTTCACAAGGGTCCGACGTGAGCAAAATCATGTTGTCATTTGTGTAGTGCAGGTCTCGTGTCCAATACGGATAAACTTTGAATCTGGGGCATGTCAGGCATGTCAGTGGATGTCATAGTGACTCACATAGGTTTCTTAAATCCGAAGACTTCGAAGAGTGAGAGCATCACTCTCAGCCGCGCAGGTGGTGCAAAAGCCCAATCGGCTGACGGATGTCTCGGCTGAGGGATTCAATACATATGGCTATGGATCAAGCCGGTCAAGCCATTAAAGACCGGGACCAGATTTTTGCCTATTTTGAGTATTAACCATCCAATGACCCAAACCCATATGGCTTTGTCTAAAAATAATTAGGTCAAAATCCTCTGGTTAATCATCATTTTCCTAAAAAATCATGACCATTTTGATGTATTCCCTATTTTCAAACAGATCCACATCTATAAAAATGGCATGACCAACGATGGGACCCCAGCTACGTTGAGCCATACCCACTTCCCGACTGCTCGGATGATCATGGCTTCACTTGGGGTTGTTCCAGACGGGGACACAAGGCTGCTGGTGTTTCAACTACAACCAAACTCAACAAATATCTCACAATGATGAAGACACTCAGATTTGACAAAATTGGGTAACAGCATGTAACAGCCTTGGGTCGAATATGAAAGGAAGTCCAAACGACAAGCACAAAGCTGAAGGATCTTGCATCGTGACCTCATCTGCGCCAAGACCCCAGCCCATCAAACGCCCATCTTTTTTCCTTAGAAAAAACGATTTATCCTGCAGTGACTGGGCAATTTTTCAAACTGGTAGCCTGAACAGATCACGCTTCGGCGCTTCGGTTGTTGCGCGTCCCTATGCGGGCGCAGTTGGACGAGCGCATTTTCCGGTTCGAGTTTCATCCCAAGATGGCCAAGGTCTATCAATTGTGTTTCAAAAAATCCAGAAACATCCAAAAGATCAATCCAAGAGGCTCCAACAATAGTACGTTTCCACTCATCAACTCAACCAACGATGGGTAGGCACCACAATCGCCAAGGGCTGCTGTCTGTCACAACTGGCCACCAGTTGACCCAGTTGACCCTGTGCGGGATGGAAAGTTCTTCGATGGTGACGCCGGAGATTTTATGAATTTTCGATCGTCTTAGATCAATATATATATATATAAAACACTTATATAACTATCCACATATACTTGCTTTAAATTGGATCATATGCATCCAACACTTGAAAAAACACTCTTCTATTACTTCTATTGGTTTCAACATTCTGAGAAATCACTTGTATCAGCCACTGAAAGGGGCAGCTTAAGCGGAAAAAACACCAACCTTCTGGGATTACCATGACTTTCCTTGTCTGGTCAACCATCCAACCCCCACAGTTCGGTAGCAATCGACGCTTCCAGCGGCCGTCGGGAAAGAGCATGGCAGCATGAAAAACATAATACAGAATGGGGTCATGGGGTTATTACCAGCTATAGGCTTATAACCAAATGAAACTGGCATGTAAGCCTAGTTGGGGTAAGAAATGAGCCATCCTGGAATCCCAAATCCGTGCGGTCAGAAATCATTCGTGACAGTCCCATTTTTCCTGGTTCCAAGATAAAAATTGATAGGGTGATTGTGGAAGAAGTGACACGCTGATATACCTGTGGCAATCGGAAACGCACATCGAAGTCAGCACCCCATGTTCATGGGAATACAAAATCTTGGTGTGGGGACTCAAAAAAATGAATGCATAATCCTGGAAAGGACCCGCCGAGACAACTTCTGGCCCATAGATGATAGTGATGATCAAGCTACCCACTTGCAACCGGGGCACAAAAAAAAAGGTAGCATCCTGAAGAAACAAAGGCGCAAATCATCAACAACTTCGGAATCCTTCACTGGTTGGTGGTTTCAACCCCCCATAGACACTACTCAATTGGGACCACATCCAATATTTCGGAATGGACGCCGAGCATGTCCAAAGCTACTGCAGTAAAGTCAAGTGAACCTTCAATTCGTACCAAACATGGGTGGGTTAATTAAACCATCATTAATTAAACCATCATTTTCAACAGGGAGGTCTAGTGTATTCGTGTAGGGTGTACCACATAACAAGCAACAATCAGATGTCAACTACTTGGCTTCTGATGTTTTGATGCCATGGTCCACCAGACATTGGACAAGCCGCTACTGTGCAGGGGCACGATCCCGAAGTGGGCGCATGGGCATTTAGGTTGACCGGAAAAAAACATGGAACAAATTGATACCTGGTTGGTGGTTTCAACCCCTCTGAAGAATATTAGTCAGTTGGGATGATTCTTCCCAATATATGGAAAAATAACAGCCGTATTCCAAACCACCAACCAGATACAAATTGACAATTCCAGTTATCACTGCTATTGGCCGCTTTGAAAATCAGAGCTTATACCGTTGTACCTCCTTGCAGTAGTTTTCTGTGCGCCATTCTCCGAGGATTGGGAAACAGTATATTGGAAACCAGGCAGTTTTCAACACAAATACACACTACAGTTGTAGAAATTACTTTTCAGCAATTTTTTGATCTTTGAATCCAGATTTAGCGAGTGAGTTCTCTTCAACGTTGCAAGGTCTGCAGCTTTCGCACCTCGGGTATCAGCCCGGGACATTGACGCAGCACGGCGCGTTCACCACAGGATCAACGCTGCAGCGTGCGATGATGGGATATATTGGGATAATTTTTCGAGGAAGATCATGCTAACCATTCGGATATTTCATGGGGAAATCATGGGATATTACAAAGAACAATATGAGGGATATTAACCAGGTCTTTTTAGCTAAGCATCTGGAAATATGATAGGGATACCTTTGGATACGCCAATCTAATTTAGCACATTGTAAAGTTTTCTACATGATCATACACCATTGGAATTTGGGGTACCCTCAAATAGGGGATTCCAAACATGACCGATGGTGGAGAGGATATCGAAAAATGATATCCCACGAAAAATCCCTGGTTAGATATAGTTAGTTTATGTTGAAATCAAACGTGTCACTAGCCCTGTGCGTAGCCTTTTGTAGCCTTTCAAGAAATCACCCTGCCCGTTTCCCCGTTTCCACCTTTTATATCACCATGATTAGTCGGTTGTAATTCCGTCATGCCATCCATTTTGGGCAAAATTGAGTTGGTTCAATCTCTTGGCGAATATTTTCAGGTTGCCATAAATGGGACTACCCAATAGCTGGATGGTTTATTTCATGGAAAATCCATCTATAAATGGCAGTGTGTCAAAACCTTGTACCCCTGGTGAACATCAAAATAGCTGGTAAATGGATGTTCATCCCCCTAAAAATGGTATGTATAGGTATTGATCCATAGCCATCTATAATTGGATGATGACTGGGTAGCCCTATGGATTGGAAAACCTCTGGATCTGAACCTCCGCACGGCTGACAAGGCGAACGTGGCCAATTTTCGAATGGCAAAACCGGACATGGGATGTGGCGGAGAAATGCCACGATTAAAAGCTGGATTTTCAGGTTTTTTAATGGTGATTTAATGGTGATTAACCCTCTGGTAATGGAATATAAATGGCTGGTTGGTGATTTGGAACATGGCTGTTATTTTTCCATATATTGGGAATGTCATCATCCCAACTGACTCATATTTTTCAGAGGGGTTGAAACCACCAACCAGATATTGTACCCAATCTATTCTGGGGGGTGTACGGGTACCACGACAAAATGACAGCTTTTGCTCGAAGCCTGGTCAACATCGAGGAGTCACCCAACATGGAGTCACCTATTCTTGTGAACAGATAACACACACATAATCTAAGTGCTGTTTTCAAAATAAGGGATACCACGTTATCATCCAAGTTATTGGTAATCTTCGTTAGCCAACCCTACACCTGATGGCCATTTTCGAGAGTTTCACCATCGTTCGCCACGAAGTTTCTCGCCCTCATTCCATGTTCGGTGTCACGGCAGTGATAAACACGCCAGGTGATCAGCTGATCCCATTGGAAACGTGGATTTCATGAATGTTAAAGTAGGCAGAATATCCTTTACATTTCATTCATGATTTAATGGTTTCTTATCAGTATATATATATATATATATGTGTTTATATTCTATATAATTCTACATATTAGATTGTTGTGAGGTAAAAGCAGGTACCCATTCAGTTTCCACGTTATTGGGTGAGTTTTCTACCCACTAACAGTGAACATCGAGCTGAAGTTCGCGTCCGATGAAACAGTTTCTCAACAGAAACGTGATGCTATTCGATCTATTCGATATCCCTCATATTCTGACATATCCCTCATAGCGCCATGGATACTGGCCATGATACTTATCCATGAGGAGAAAATCGGAGAACCAACTGCGGCCATGGATGATCCTCAGGATTCCATCAGCATTTCGATCTTTTTCGACTCGACCCACTGAAAAAAAACTTGAAAGTCAAGGTGACATCAGATTCGGCAGTGAATGATATTTCAAAAACAAATTCATTACCTGAACTCAACCTTTTCCAAAGGGATCTGCCACACGAGCATTTTGTAACGATCAAGTAGTGATCAATCAAGAGGCGTGGGCATGGCAGTCACAGATCACCAACCATCAACCCCAAGGGGTTGTGCAACAATTCACCATTTTGTTGCGGATATAAATGGATATTAAATGATATTAATGGGATTAAATGGTAATATCATGGTTTATAAATGGTTTATAAATGGCAATATTTCAATGATATTAATATTAATGGGATTAAATGGGAATATAATGGTTTTTTATATAATGTTTTCTCTTTGGTAGAGACCACGTTTTGGTTGCAGTCCTACTTTGTCCGATCAAACAACCCAACAACTTTGGGACAAATTCTGCTGCGATTTCCACCGTCCCTTTGCTTGTAAAAAAATAAGCATAAAACATATAATCACATATCAGATCACTATTCAATGGATTGGAAGGGAAAATGGAAACCAGAAACCACAGTTTCTAGCCCAACCTCAATTATAGGGGTTTCC